CATTACAGCGACTGGTTGAATAGTCAGTCAAACAGTCGGACACTTAGCATATTAGGCTTTCATTATATAGGATGACCATTCCTGACTGTTGTTTCTAAAGCACAGAAAACATTCATATCAAGATACACACAAAGGGGATAAATAGCATTTTTACTTTATCCTCACCCCAGGATATGATTTCATTAGATTTTTAGAGGAAGGGAGGGAGGGAGGGAGGGAGGGAGGGAGGGAGGGAGGGAGGAAGGGAGGAAGGGAGGGAGGGAGGGAGGGAGATACAGAGAGACATCAATCAGTTGCTTCCCTATCCCAACCCCCCACTCCCTGAAGAACTCACAACCTAGATATGTGCCCTGACTTGGAATCCAACGACAACCCTTTTGTGTATGGGAGGACGCTCCAACCAACTGAGCCAGCAGGCCAGGGCAAGACAGCATTTAATAAAGGAGAGCTAAAAAAGAGATCGTGCCCTATTTCTGTGTAAATTAGCTCTATAGCCTCCCCACCTGTAAAACTCAGGAAAATTGAAATGAACTCTCTTCCTTCTAAGTATCAAGATCTCTAAGTTTGAACTCAAAATCTACAAACGTTTTATATATGAAGATGTCTATCTTACCTGCTCGGTCATTAAGACCTTGTTGAAGGAGCATTACTCTCTGAGCAATAGACATGGCTCTCATGTGAACCTTTTCACCTAAAACCTTAAAGAGATAATATTAAAATGATCATTTATCTCAATATAGTTTACATTTCATAACTAGCAACAACGCCTTCATCTAAGAAAATGACCCAAAATCTAAAAAAAAAATGAATATCTGGTAACACAGTTAATGCAATAAGATTCTACTTAAATTACCTATGCTCTCTGAACATAAAAATCTCAATTAAAGAAATCATTATTATTTGCCAAATATTTTTCAAAGTATTTTTAAAATATGGCTTTTTGTCTTTTAAGAATATGCCTACACAGGATATTGAACTTATTTACCTGATAAGCCAGCTTTCTGACAGCCTCTTTCACATCCTTGGTGCGTCCTACAATTTTTGACAAAGTCTTTCCTGATGGTATAATACATGATAGCACTGCCCTCCTAACTTCTGGATTTGAATCATTTTCAATCAAAGTAACATATGCTAAAAATAAAACAATATATTTTAGTACATTAAATAAATGTTTCCTTAACCATCGTCATACGATCACACATTTTGATATTTAATAGTATCTTTAAAATGATAAAAATATCACTTTTTAGTCTGGCATATGTATGCTAGCTGAAGATTTTCTTCAGTCAACTTCCCTTAATAAGGACAGAATAGGAAATTACTCAATGGATTGAGCACGAAGGCTAAAGCAAAAACAAACAGCCGTAAAGATCATTGAAAATCCACCATCAGGATTACAAAGCTGCTACTCTTCAAGATTTAGAAGAATGTCTAGTATAGCAGGCAGTTTACTTTTAAACTGATAGGGCTTTATGAAAAGCCATTACTATTTTGATTTTTAATGAGTTCTAAAAAGAAAGAACTTCTGGTTTTACTCACCTAAACAAAATCCATTCCTGAGTTTAAATATGTATTTACCTCTACATCTCAAATTTTGTCCAGGTTCACAATCAACTACATGTTTATTAAACACTAGAGGCCTGGTGCACAAAATTCATGCATGGGGAGGGGAGGTGTCCCTCAGCCCAGCCTAAACCCTCTCCAATATGGGTCCCCTCAAGGGATGTCCGACAGCCTGTTTAGGCCTGATCCCAGTAGAATCGAGCCTAAACGGGCAGTCAAACATCCCTCTCACAATCCAGGACTGCTGGCTCCCAATTGCTCATCTGCCTGCCTTCCTGATTGCCCCTAACTGCTTCTTAATGCCAGCCTGATCATCCCCTCACCACTCCCCTGCCTACCTGATTGATGCCTAACTTCTCCCCTGCCAGTCTGATTGCCCCTAACTGTCCTCCCTACAGGCCTGGTCGCTCCTAACTGCCCTCCCCTGCTGGCCATCTTATGTCCACAAGGGGGCAGGATCTTTGACCACAGGCCCATACTCTATCCACTGAGCAGGGTTTTTTTTTTAATCATTTATATAAATATATAGTTCATAATAAAAAAATTACCGTATTTTTCAGACCATAAGACGCACTTTTTTCCCCCCAGAAGTGGGGGGAAAAAGTCCCTGCGTCTTATGGTCCAAATATAGCCTACACATATACTTTAAAAAAAAAGTTTTTTTACTTGCCCAGCTCTGTGTGGTCTCTGTGTGCTTGCCCGGCTCTGAAATGGTTCTAAATGCTGCTGTTTACTTTACAGGGTTGATTACATGTGTTTATGACTGTGATGTTGGGTTTTAATGCACATAAAATATTTTAGGACACTATTTGTTTCAGAATCTTTTTTTCTTCATTTCCCTTCTCTAAAAACTGGTGCGTCTTATGGTCCGGTGCGTCTTATGGTCCGAAAAATACGGTAATCTACTGATAATTTAACAAAGTCAATAAAAACTGAAAAAGGATTTAGTAGCAACACATACCATTAGCCACTGGGCATTCATCATCTTTGGGATCCTGAAGTCTTGAAAGAGCCAGAACTGCCTGTATCCTCACATTTGGAATTTTATCTTTCAATCTAATAAGCATGGCTTCATTAATCTTATCAAACAAATCATCATCAATCTGGGCATTTTCTGGCATATTTCCCAAGAGTTTGTTTATGAGCTGGCATACTCTAAATCTAACAGCATTGCTGTTTGCTTCATGAGACTGAAATGGATACAAACCAAACTGTAGTCACAGTCCATTACTAAATAATCACATGTCAATCACATATGTTTAGAAGTTAAGAAATTATAGCAGTAATTAAATACTTACAGAAAAACTGTTCCCTTGATCCTTCACACTGCCAACCCAACCTCCCTAAACCTCCAGACCTGCAGGAGATATCCACCCGCCCCCTCCCCACCCAACACTGTGCCAGGCAGCCTCAGTGCCAGTAATCATTTCTCTCCCAAGTTCACGGTATACAAAGGATGCATGTGTACTAAAAATATATCACATAAGTTCTCAAAAGCACAGACTGAAGTGTTTGTTAAATTATAAGAGCAAATTCCTCTTTGTACGAACTCTTCTAAAGTAGATATAATATATGGAACTGGTTCAGAGAGGTCATTAAAAATGTAATGCTGGTGTTATCTTAAAAGTCCACTTTTTATAGGGTATGGGGGGGTGATGATGGATGGAGACATGACTTCGGGTGGAGAACAAATAATGCAGTGCACAGATTAGTGTTGCACAACTGTGCACCTGAAACCTGTATAATTTTGTTAGCCAGTATCACCCCAATGAAATAAAATAAAAAATTTAAAAAGATCCACCTTTTTATCTTAACGACAGTTTCAATGTTTCCTATAAAAAGCAGATTCGATCACAGACATTTTGTCATTTACGTAGTATTTCAATCTCTAAAATATACAAACTCCCCTGCACCTTTTAATATAGTAAAATGTTCTGCAATTACTGCCCCCAAGTTGTAGTTTTCATCATACCTTTAACAGAAAAGTACACAAATAATTTAAAAGTCCACCATCTTCCTCCTCGTTGTCTTCCACATCCGATTGGTGAAATGAAGTAACAAACTTCGCTGCAAACTCTATTACCCTCTCCACGGCAGGCTCACGTTTGTAGACCACCATGGCATACTTAAGGTAATGAACGAACTCCTCGTGAAAAATTGCTTTATCCTCCGTCTGAAATGCAAACGAAACCTTCACAAACTGCACAGATAAGATCCTTATTTTACCAACGTTACTCTAAGAATGCTGAATGCCTTAGCCATAACGCAGACAAACTAAAGTCATTCAGAAAACTAAATCATCCAAACTATCAAAGGGGAACTTGCGTGAATTTCTCTCCTGAAATATTAATTTATCCCGGGGGTGGGGGGCGGGGAACAACCATGTATTTTGACAATGAAAGGATTCCCACCCCACCCCCCGCCCCCCACCCCCAGCATCCTTTCATTCTCAATACGCCTGGGTATCACTTTCGTAAAAGTATGCTTCATGAACTCAAGGTCACCAGTGGCTTTAACACTTCATCATCTGTAGCCTTTCTGTTTACTATAACTCTCACATCTGTCTCCTGTCTTCAACTCGTATTCTACTGACTTACAATTTTTCTTAGACCCCAGAATACTTTATTTCCCCGAAATTCATTGTCCTCGTCCTCTCAAGGCTCCACTCAAAACAAACGGTGTGTACATTTATAGGAAGAGCCAGTCCCAGTGATTAACTTGCTATTTGGTGATTTGGTTCCATTTAACCATGGGGAGGGGTGAGAACGGATGGCTGATGGTTGGCGGTGTGACCCACAGCTCGGGGTCCACCCAGCTGGTGCCAGGCCGCCTCCATTCTCTCCCCAGTTAGTTCAGCGCCCACAAGGGGTAACGGTCCGCCCCGGAGGCGGCTGGGGAGAGCGGGGTGAGGGGAAGGCGGGGTGGGCGATGGTAAGACGGGAGGGGGGCGGCGATCTCCGCAGGCCGGAGGTTGGAGGAGGGTGGGCGGGAGGTGCGCCGAGTCCGGGGCTTCCGGGAGGGCCGCGGGCAGCGGCCGCCGAGGGCCTCGGGGTCCGGCGCGCTTACCGTGCGGTAAGTGCGACTCAGCGCCACCACCAGCTTGGCCTGGTTCTGGTGCGGCTGCTGCGCCAGCTGGAAGGCCTCCTTAATGGGCAGCAGCCTCTTCTCGGCCCCCATGGTGGCGCGACTCCGCGAGGACGAGTCCTGTCGGCGCTCGGCGGCAGCTCGACCCACTGAACACCAGCCAAACCCGCTCAATCCCCTCCGACTCCCTCCTGCGGGCCTCAGGGCTCGCAGGGCGTGATTACCGCCTAGCGTTTAAATAACTCCCGCGGGAGAGGCGAATATCGCGAGATTGCCTAGAGGGCGGCGGGAGGCGGGAGGTGGGAGGCGGGGCCGAGACAGCGGCGGGAGGCGGGGTCGGGAAGAAAACCGACCTCCAACGTAGCGGTTTGGGCGCATGCGCTAAGGGTTTAAGCAGCCGTTGTCAGGCAGGAAGTGACGTTTCTAAGAACAGGAGGGGCGAAGGCTCGCCCGGAAGTAGTGCCCGATGGACAGGGCGAGTCGAGTGGCCGCGCTGGTCTTCGCCAGAACGTGCGGCGGGGCGTGAGGCGGAAAGAAATGCTCCTTGGGTGAGAAGGGCAGTCTGCCGGGGGGATCCCGCGGAAGGGGAGCAGGGAGCTGGGAGGGGGGTTCGTTGGAGCCCGTGGAGAAGGGAAAGAGCGGGCGCGGAGGGCAGGGCCGCGGCCGGCTGCTGCCGCGAAGGGAGACGGGATCTGCAGATGGAGGCGGCCGCGGCCTTTCCCAGCCTGGGCCCTCGGCTGGTGGGAGGTCTGCAGAGGGGGAGCTAGGCGGCCATTCAGTGTAGATGCAGCTGCTCTACGGGGGCCTCCTTGCGAGGCCTGGTTCACAAAGGTGGGCACCGACCGGGTACTAAACGGAGGCAGAATGGCACCAGCGTTCACAGGGTGGTTAAGCTAAAGAAATGTTTGTTTGTGTGTGTGTGTGTTTGTGTAAAAAGGAGTCCTGCCTTCAGGGGGAACTGAGCCTTTAAACTTTTTTTAATGGAATTAATTGTATCAGACCAGAGTGAGCATCTCAGTGCTCACAGCCATCTAAAGAAATAGGTTACAGCCCGGCCTCGGCCGATGAACCAGGTGGGCAGGGTTCGATTTGGGTCAGGGCACATGCCCGGGTTAGAGGCTCAATCCACTTTGGGGGGCGTGAAGGAAACAGCCAGTCAGTGATTCTCTTCATTGGTGTTTCTCTCTCTCTCTCTCTCTCTCTCTCTCTCACTCTCTCACTCTCTCACTCTCTCACTCTCTCACTCTCTCTCTCTCTCTCATCCTTCCCTCTGTGAAATCAATGAAAAGTCTATATTTGAAATTTTGACACAACGTTGCATTCAATTACGCACTGTTTTTATATACCTACTATTATATAAATGTCACACATGTGACAGGTAAAAACATGCTTTTTTGGAAAAACAGCGCCATGTGTTGGACGTAAAAGCAACACATCTACTGTATACTAAATATTTTACGATTCCATTTCATAACAGTGTTTCCGATTACATTGTTAAATTGAATTTTCATAGATTTTGAGTTACTTTCATTTTGATTTAATTATTTCGTGTGGCATTGCGTTGGAATTGAGCTATGTCGTTTACCATAGCGTTTGTTTCGTGAGTATAGTTTATTTGTTTATTTTTTCATTTTGTTTTTTTTTTTACTGTTTTCTTATTTTTCAGTGCAGCTGGCGGTGGAATTGAGGTATGTCGATTGATCTGCATTTGAATTGAAATATTTCTTTAGTATTTTTTTATGTTTTGTTCTTTTGTTTTTAGTTCATGTTTTTTCCTTTTTTAATGTTTTGCAATTTTATATATTTTTGTTATAACTTTTTTTTTCAGTGCAATCGATCTGCTTTAGTTCATCCAAATAATGCCTCGCAGAAAATCAAACCTAGGTCGTCGTACTCGCGGAGCAGAAGCGGTGCGACGGGTAATTGCAAATCAAACTGAGGAAGAACGGGCATCAGCAAACGAGAGAAACAGACAAAGAATGGCTCAAAAACGTGCCAAGGAAACTGCAGAGCAACGTGCAGCCAGACTTGAGGATGCACGGTTGCGAGCACGGCGATCGCGTTCTGCAGCTTTAAATCGGCTTCGTTCTCAGCAGAATGAACGCCACAGGCTGAGAGTGCCGGAAAGACTTCAACGCAAAACAGCAGATCAGTATCAAACACAACTCCGTGCTCAGCAATCACGCGATTGCCATCGCCTTGCATTCCAATACAACCCAGCTGATGATTATAGTTTGAGCTGGCATATTCTCATCGGCACTGTGACTGAAGTGTGTCCTTATTGCAAGGCTCTGAAATTTAATGCAGAAACAAAAGGAATGTGTTGTGTCGCCAGAAAAATTAAGCTACCTCAACTTGGAGAACCTCCAGAACAGGAGGTTTCAGGCAAACATTACCTGTAATTCCTCAATCGACACCAGCGAATGAAATAAATGCTTGCATGAAATACTCTACTTTGTGGCGACACGAAAAGGCGTTAAAATTAACTACAAATATGCGTGTCCAGCTGCAAAACGATCAGCTGAAATATTCTCACATCAATTGCTGGAAACTGGGAACGGAAAGGTGCCAGTTGATCTGACCTCAGGATGAATTTCATTGCCTCAATTTCTTCAATTTAGTGACTTCAAAAGAAAAATTGGTTGAAAAAGTATTTCCCAATATTCAAACCAATTATAAGAATTACAGTTGGGCATTAGGAAGAGGAGGATCCAAGATGGCTGCACAGGTAAACACCTAACCGCAGCCACACACAACAACTTTAATGAAATACAACTAAAAAAAAAAAGAATCACAATTGGCCAAAACCGGTTTGGCTCAGTGGATAGAGTGTCAGCCTGCGGACTGAAGGGTCCCAGGTTCGATCCGGTCAAGGGCATGTATAATACATTGGATGCAGGCACATCCCGGGTGTGGGGTGTGCAGGAGGCGGCTAGTCGATGTATTTCTCCCATCGATGTTTCTAGCTCTATCTCTCTCCCTTCCTCTGTGTGAAAAATCAATAAACAATAGTTAATAAAAAAAAAAAAAAAAGAATCACAATTGGCTGAGTGAAAGAGCTATTCTTGTGGCCAAGAACAATGGCATCAACAAACTTAACATTATTCAGTCTAACATTCAAAGCGAGGCAGTCACATACAAGTCTGTTGACACTCTTGGAAGCAGATGAAGCAGTTCATTATCCAGCAGAATTTTTGAATTCACTCTTATCTGCCAGAGATGCCACCACATGTACTGCAATTGAAAATTGGTGTGCCAATTATTATGTTGCAAAATAACCAGCCAAAGCTTTGCAACAGCACACGGCTTGCAATAAAAAAAAAATTAATGAGCAATGATATAGAAGCATCAATCTTGACAGGACCTTTCAAAGGTGAAGAGGTTCTCATTCCTCACATTCCTATGATTCCAACGGATATGCCATTTCAATTTAAGAGATTGTAATTCCCCATTTGAATGGTGTTTGCAATCACCATCAACAAAGCTCAGGGCCAATCTTTAGAATTGTGCAGTTTAGATCTAGACACGTATTGCTGCTTTTATATGTTGTGTGTTCTAGAGTCTGCAAACCAGACAATCTCTATAACTGCACAGACAATGGAACAACAAAAAATACTATATACTCACAAGCATTGTGAAATTAAACATATTAGAAACGTGTACTTTATCTTTTCTTTCTTTTCCATTTAACCAGACTGAGCCACAGCAACATGTGGCTGGGTACAGCTAGTGTGTGTGTGTGTGTGATGTATATAATGTATATAATGTGTATATATAAATGTATATATAAATTTATATATATATGTGTGTGTGTGTATATATATATATAAATAAGTAGATTACAGAGCTGCCCATATATCTCTTTTCCTATTGAATCACCTTCCCTTTTTAGCAGTAACAGATTTTCTGAGTTCACTTAATTTTTATGTATTAATAATAGATAATACATCTCTGAATAAATATACTCGATTGTTTTATGTTCTAATATGAAAAGGGAGATCCCAGCCACATCAGGCTCCCGCAGAATATACCAGGTGATTTTGCTTATTAAATTTGAAAGCCTATGATAGGATAATATTAAACTTGACCTTTCACTGTTGCATAAGTGATTATTATAATTTAAAACAGTATAAGATTATTATTATAATTTAAATCTTCAAATATTATATGACCTTGACATTGACCACTAAGTTAAGAGGTACTAACACTATACCAACATCATACTAGTAGTTAATTTCTATCTCTTCTATTTTATAAGGCTAAATCATAGTATAATTGAATTGCTTCATTCTTTTTTTTTTTTAATATATTTTATTGATTTTTTACAGAGAAGGGAGAGAGAGAGAGAGCTAGAAACATCAATGAGAGAGAAACATCGTCCAGCTGCCTCTTGCACACCCCCTGTTGGGGATGTGCCCACAGTTAATGTACATGCCCCTGACCGGAATTGAACCCGGGACCCTTTAGTCCGCAGACCGACGCTCTACCACTGAACGAAACCGGTTTCGGCACTTCATTCTTTTCTATCTTTATTTCACCTCTATCTTCTAGGTTGGTATTAATATAGACCCTTGTCATACTTCATTGTTTTAATAAACCTTTATGATAATTTAAGGTATTCAATTCACTGGATTTCACTTCAGAGCTTTATTATTGGGTTTCTTTACCAAATATTGGTATTTTGTTCTATTTTCATATCAAAATAAACATTTTCTATATGTTGTAACTGAAGACCAAACCCAAATATTAACAATAGCATGGAAAACCATTTTAAAATTCATGAATTGTTTATATTTTCCCTAAAATGTTTTAGTTAGAAAAATGATATGCTTTGTTTATATAAGACATTGTGGTTTGCTTTATATTAGGAGTTTCAACCAGCAGAAAGGCCAAATGATGTTAATTTCTGGTTTGAACATAATTCCTGTAAATTATAAAAACATGCCATCTATTTTTGTCATTGTCTTAACATCACAGAAGAAAAATAAGTTCAGATTTATGAATAGAATGATGGTGGGTATGTGGGTGAGAGACCTATGTCTTCCATATTTTATTGTAAAAATCCCTTTCATTTTAATCCAACAAAAGTGTCTTTGCTATCAAATAACCATAGATTGCAGGCATACAGAAATGATGAATACTCAGGCCTTCACTTCACAATCTTCAGGGAGTGGAAGTAAAACAGTAAAGTACATTCACAAATACAGCAATTATAATACATCGAAGACTGTAAGAGCAATGAGGAATTATATAAAGTGTCTTAAGAGCACAGAGAGGGGTAATTATCATATAGATGTGAATTATTGAACTGCAACAAGACTTGCTTGAATTGTGTTGTACCCATGGTGTGGAAAAGTGGTGTTGGGTTTTTTTTGTTTTTGTTTTTATTTTATTTTTTTTTTACAGAGAGGAAGGGGGAGAGAGAGCTAGAAACGTCGATGAGAAAGAAACATCGACCAGCGAGAAACCGACCAGCTGCCTCTTGCACACCCCCTACTGGGGATGTGCCCGCAACCAACATACATGCCCTTGACCGAAATCGAACCTGGGACCTTTCAGTCCGCAGACTGATGCTCTACCACTGAGCCAAACCGTTTTCGGCAGAAAAGTGGGTTTTTGATAAGTAAATCCAACCTAGTACCAGGAATGCTCAGAGCCTACTCAAGAAGGTAAATAATCCTTTTCACTAATAATTACAGGGTAAATTAAGATTGCTGTTAGGGTATTTAATTTGACAGTAAAATACTAGTGAAATTTTCAGACTAATTTAAGTTGGACAGTGATTTAACATCTTTTTCTTGTCATGGTGACTGGGGAGGTTCCAGGTCGTGGGGCTCCATAAACCTGGGTCCCTGAAAGGACATGGAACACTTCTCCCCACCCTCCTTCATACTGAATTTTGGAGGACACAGTTTAAGTAAAAATGAAATCTTTGTTTTAAGCTACTGAGATTTGAGTCTCCGTTACTAGAAAAGAATCTAGTCCAGTATTCGGCAAATGTGCCTCTTGAGCCACATGCAGCTCTTTGACCCCTTGAGTGTGGCTCTTCCACAAAATACCATTGAGTCTATTTTGAAGAAGTGGAGTTAGAAGAAATTTAAGTTTAAAAAATTTGGCTCTCAAAAGAAATTTCAAGCGTCGTATGTACTGTTGATATTTGGCTCTGCTGACTAATGAGTTTAGCTAACATTGATCTAGTCCATTCTGACTATGCAGAAAGGAGTAGAATTATCAGAATGGAAAACATAAAATATGTGGCTGTGACTTAGAGCCTCAATGGTGGTGGCAAGGAAACTGTTAAGAGGCTGGAAAGTAAGTAATCTGTGTTAGCTGTGGTAACATATGTGAGTCTTCCATTCTTCACCTTTACTGAGGTTATCCTGACTCTGTCCCATCACTGAACGTGTGTGTGTGTGTAAGCAGAGAGGGATAATTCTTTGTCTTTTGAGATCCCTATAACAATAGAAGCTTATTCCTGTTCTAACATAGGGACTATCAGCCATCACCCAGAGATGCTAAACTGAGTTATATTCCATTACTGAATAGAACTTCTGGATTATCTCACTTGTGATAGGGATGAATATATTTTGTAGTGTAAAGAGAGTGAATTGTAAATTGATGACTGGAATCATTGGTGCTCTTCACCAGTAAATTCTGATTATCTTTGTTCTGGAAAAATAGGAGGATTGCACTTCTGAGCTCCCTTGAAAAATAGGCATGCCTGTGTCATTTGCTTTTATCAAAGAAACGTGAGTGGAACTGACTTGAATCACTTTCAGGAAGAACCAATTCATCATTCATCTTCCTTGGACCTATCATGCAGGTGGGGAAGTTACAATGATTGGGGCTGTCCTAAATGCTCAGGTTGCTTGGTGACAAGGACCTGCTCTGAAGCTCCACCCCCACAATTTTGGACCCTTTGTTAGGGTTTATGGCTACATCATAAACTAGACCATCCTAACTAATGTCAATTACTGTAAAAGTGATCAGAAAGCTACAAATGCTGATAGCTGGCAATTACAAGTGGGATCAGTAATTGAAACTCTACTGATAATTCCTAAAGCACCTTCATGTGAGATTTTACTTCTGTAATTGGGACCATTCTAGAAAGGTGATTTGGAGATTTCAAACTTCATTTTCTTAATCTGTGAAAGTGTAGAACTATATCTTCACTGTTGAGAGGTAGTGATGAGCAATGAAATACTTCTTTGTAGGAAAAAAGAAAAAAGGAAAGATGGATAAGGATAAACTGCAAAACAGGGAGTACTGAACTCAGAATTCATAGGAATTTCCAGGAAGAATTACAACATATTTCCCACATACTTGTGCATATGTTTTCAGTAATACACAGAACTTCTTAGTAAATTTTGGGTTCAGCCCCCTGCACATATACAGAATCACAAGCACAATTGTTGTGATGCAAAAGTCAAAAGTGTCACTGAAGTTTAAATGAAAAACTCATTCTGAAGAAAAAGTATTTTCTCAAGCATAGAGTAGAATATGTTCCATAACATTTGTAAAGTGCCACACTTTATGTAGTAGGGTCAATCAGGTGAAAGATGTCACGGTACAGAAGTTTCAATGGGTCACTATCCTCCAGGAGTTTACATTTTGCGGAGGATAACAAGTTTCCTCTTTGGGGGTTTTTCATCCAGCCCAATGCCCTCCGTAAATAATTCTCGGTGAAAAGCCTCGCATCTTTTCCTTAAGCCTTACACATAGTTTCCGAAATCTCTTCGCCCTGGAGAGATCCCCCAGGGAGGGACCTCTCTGGACATTTCGCCATTATTTGGGATGCGGCCCAATGACCAGCCTGCTTTTTCCCTGCCGTGGCGAGATGACAGTAACCCCCCCCAAAATTTCCAGCCCTTAAAGTACTAAGTGTAGCTTGAACCATTAAGAAGCGGTCTACTCTTGCGATTTTCACCGCCCATATATAGTAGAACCTAAAGAAGTTGAGGAGGCTAGATCACAGCAGTTCCAGGTGCAGGGCATTGGAGGCACAGCTCAAAGGAGTCCAAGGACCAAGCTCAAGTATGCAAGTAGGACTGAAGCATGCCCATCCCTGCTGGACTACTAGGACCAGCATGCATGGCGCCGCGGCGTCCAGCTCCACTTTGGGACTCTGGCGCAACGGAGCCTGGGAAGTGAAGTCTGCGTGCAGCCCAAGTCTCTTGGGGAAGGCTTGGCACTCAGGTTCCTGGCCGGGGCCGGGAGCCTCTCGCTTTCGCTCCGGGATTTCGCGGGCGGCGGGAGCAGTATGGCTCGCTTGAGTAAACTCCGGGCGGGAGGAGGCGCCGGCGAGGGGATGGGGAGGCGGGGTCAGCGGAAGCGGCAGGTTGCTTCCTCCTCGTCGCGCTCCCTCCCCTCCCCGCCTCTCCGGGACGGGGAAGGCTGGGCCGAGGGAAGGTAGTGACATGTGTCAATCAACTCCCCTTCGGGGGGCGCGCGCCGCTGCCTCGTGCCTGCGCCGCTCGTATGTAAATGAGGGCGCGTGACGCGGGACGCTGATGAACTGAGGAAGAGAGGGAATGGCCGCCGCCGCCGCCGCCGCTCAGTGCCGGAGCCCTCGGTGCGCGGCGGAGAGGAGAGGATTCCGGCGGGAGCTGGACTCCTGGCGCCACCGCCTCATGCACTGTGTGGGTAAGAGAGGCTCGGGCTGGGGCCGCGCGCCGCGCCGCGCCGCCCGCCGCGCCCGCGGAGTTTGGGGCTGAGGGCTGAGTTGTCTCCTGTCCGGTCAGTTCAGTGGGGAGCGGGCTGGCGGCGGCGGCGGCGGCCCGGGCTCGCCTTTTGTCTGGGGGCTCCGGCCCGGGCGCCGTCCGCGCCCCTTCCTTCCCCCCGGAGCTGTTGGGCTCCCCGCGAACTGTTAGTTCGGACCCGCTCGCCCGGCCCCCGGGGCAGCCTCTCGCTCGCTCGCTCGCTCGCGCTGTCCCCCAACTCCGCGGCGCCCCCGGCCGCCCGGCGGCCGCCCTGTCAGGGGGAGGAAGCGGCCCGGCGGCGGCGGCGGCCGGGCGGAGGGGAGCCGCGGAGGAAGGCGGGCTGGTCCGCGCCCCCGCCGGGCGCTCACACACCCCCTTCTCGCCGCCGCCGCCGCCGCCGCCGGGGGCCGGGCCGGCCGCCACGACCGAGTTCCAGAGGAGGGCGTCCCAGGCGACCGTACCCCGCACCCCCTTCCTCCCCCGGCGCCCGAGGGACGGGGGCGCCTCGCTCTGCCCTCTCGGAGGCGCTCGGCGGCGGCGCGGTGTGTGCCCCTTTAAGAAGGAGCCGCTGGAGCGCGGGCGGTTGGGATTTGAAGTTCTTCCTCTTTGGAGGGAGGCTCTAACTGTATAGTGAATTTCCCCCCCCCCCCCCCCTCAGTCCCAGTCCTAGTCAGGAGACCTAGTAAGACCCATCTCATACTTTTGTTTTTGTCCTTGTTGTTTTTAAATAAACAATGGAACTCTTTTAAGCCGGATGTACACTTGTTGATTAGGTTTTGCATGTTTTCAGTATCCTATATGTGAAGCATCTATTCATAGTGTGAATTGGGATTACATGTAGCTTGTGTACTTATTTCAATTTATCTTTTGCTATTAATGTGCTTATACTCAATATTTCACTTTCTAAAGATTTGCAAACGGACATTCTTTTTCCTTTGCATGTTTGTATGCGTGTGAATGTACTTTATGTGTATATATAAATTTTTTTCTTGCATGTCCAGTGCTCTTACGACTTGAAATCGTTTTTATAAAATACTCTTTCTGCCTTTGAGGAAGGAAATTATTCAAAAGCAGTATTTTTAAATAAGGAAATTGTAAGCAATGTCTTAGGGTTGTACCACAACTTATTATAGTATTAACCCAGTACTAATGTTTTAAATCTCAATTCCTAAAGTCTTTGATTCACTTTTTTATAATATATATAATATTCTACTTTTATGGGGAGAAAGTTCATTAAAATAACAACGGCATACTTCACAGACCTAGAAAGAACTCTCCAAAAATTCATCTGGAACAAAACAAGACCTTGAATAGCCACAGCAATCCTGAGAAAGAAGAATAAAGTAGGAGGGATCTCAATACCAGATTTCAAGCTGTATTACAAAGCCACTGATCTCAAAACAGCCTGGTATTGGCATAAGAACAGATCACTGGAATAGAATAGGGAACCCGGATATCAGCCCAAACCTCTATACTCAATTAATATTTGACAAAGGAGGTATGAACATGCAGTGGAGTCAAGACAGTCTCTTTAATAAATGGTATTGGGAAAATTGGAAAATACATGCAAAAGAATGAAACTAGGTCACCAACTTACACCATACACAAAAATAAACTCAAAATGGATACCGGACTTAAACATAAAACGGGATACCATAAAAATACTAGAGGCATCCACAGGTAGCAAAATCTCTGACCTATGCCAAAAGAACTTCACTGATACTGACCCTAGAGCAGTGGAAGCTAAAGAGAAAATAAACAAATAGGACTACATCAAAATAAAAAGCTTTTTTACAGCAAAAGAAACCATCAACAAAACAACAAGAAAGCCCACTGTATGGGAAAACATATTTGCAAATGTTATCACTGATAAAGGTTTAATCTCCAACATCTACAAACAGCTTATACAGCTAAATAAAAGAAAGATAAATGACCCAATTAAAAAATGGGCAATGGCCGGGACCGGTTTGGCTCAACGGATAGAGCGTCGGCTTGGGGACTGAAGGGTCCCAGGTTCGATTCCGGTCAAGGGCATATACCTTGGTTGCGGGCATATCCCCAGTAGGGGGTGTGCAAGAGGTGGCTGATCGATGACTCTCTCTCATCGATGTTTCTAACTCTGTCTCCCTTCCTCTCTGTCAATCAATAAATCAATAAAATATATTTTTTTAAAATAAATAAATAAATAAATAAAATAAATGAGCAATGGACCTAAATAGAATATTTTCAAAAGAAGACAGAAGGAAGGCCAAGAGGCGCATGAAAACTTGCTCAAAGTCACTAATTATCAGAGAGATGCAAATTAAAACAACAATGAGGTACCATCTCACACCTGTCAGAATGGCCAACATCAGTAAATCAAACGACAAGTGTTGGTGAGGTTGCAAAGAAAAAGGAACCCTCGTGCACTGCTGGTGGGAATGTAGACTGGTACAACCACTGTGGAGAACAGTATGGAGTTTCCTCAAAAAACTAAAAATGAACTCCCTTTCGACCCAGTAAACCCACTCCTAGGAATATATCCTAAGAAACCAGAAACACCAATCAGAAAGGAAATATTATAGGTCAAGTTATTTATTTATTTATTTGTTTATTTATTTATTTATTTTTACTTTTAATTTTGATATAATTTCAGACTTACACAAAAAGTTGGAAGAATAGTACAAGGAACTCATATACTATGCTTATCCACATCCACTAATTGCATTATAGTTTGCTGCATTTGCTTCATCATTCTAGCTTTCTATCCATATCATTCTGTCTACCTCTCTATCCATTCATCCTAACTTCTTTTGAAATAATTTGAAGGTAGTTGGCAGCTATTGTACCTCTTTATTCCTAAACTCTTCAGTGTATATTTTCTAAAATCAAAAAAAAAAAATTGTGCTTACCTTACCACAGTGTAGTTATTAAAACAGGGAGATTTAATATTGACATAATACTGTTATCTCAATCATAATCCATATTCAAATTTTATCTATTTCTCTATCTATAAGCTTTCCTTTCCTTAGTCCACAATCACACATGGCATTTTGTTGTCACATCCCTTTAGTCTCTTTTAATCTTCAATGCTTTCTCAGCTTCTCTTGTATTTTTTTACCTTCATATTTTTGATAAGTACAGTATAGTTATTTTGCAGAATATCTCCCAATTTGAATTTGTTATTTTCTCATGATTAGATTGATTGTGAATTTTTTTTTTTTGCCAGTACTTCCTCTGAAGAGATGTTCTGTGCTTCTTAATAGTAGTATATCATATCTTGAGCTTCATGTTGTTAGCTTTGAAAATTTGGTTAAAGCATTATTCCCCATACTTCTTGAAAGTAATCACTTATCCCTTTGTCATCAATATGTAATTTGGGAGAAAATATATGTCAACATGTGTCTGCATATAGCATTCCAAAAATTTTGCTATTATTATTGTTGATTTGCACAGGATATTAGCAGGTTTGAGCTTTACAGTTTTGCCAATAGATTCTTTCTGGTGGGAATGCTGATGAACAATAAAAAGATCCTGAGGCATGTTAGAGGAAAAGGTAGTAAGGGCTTGAATGATCTGTTTTCTATGGTGTCAGAGTCATAGTTTAAAAATCACAGTGTTTCAGCCGAAACCGGTTTGGCTCAATGGATAGAGCGTCGGCTTGGGGACTGAGGGGACCCGGGTTCGATTCCTGTCAAGGGCATGTACCTTGGTTGCGGGCATATCCCCAGTGGGGCGTGTGCAAGAGGCAGCTGATCGATGACTCTCTCTCATCAATGTTTCTAACTCTCTATCTCCCTTCCTCTCTGTACAAAATCAATAAAAAATATGTGTTGTTTTTTTTTTAAATCACAGTGTTTCACTTAGTCGAACCCCAGCTTTTGGTATATGAGACCAAAAGACATCTGATGCCTTCCATTCTAAGTAACTTTCCTAGTAATATCATAACTGTCTTAGAGATCTGCACTCCGCAAGTGTTTGTAGAATGGACTTTTTTTTTCCAAACTACCTGGCCCATCTATAATCAGCAGTTATCAATGTCAGAGAATGTTCATTTCCCTTTTTTAAAAAAAAACCTCTGAAGAAATTATATAAGAGTACTTCCTAGATGTTGAATAGGCCATAAATAAAATTCTATATAATCAACCTAATACCTTTCTGACTGCTGCTGGCTTTTTCCTCTTTTGACTTTCCACTAATGTCTAGCTCATCAGTCACTGTTGCAATATAAATCCCAAAAGAGTGAATTCACTTAGAAATCTGGATTTGGTAAGGACTGGTATGGTGGGCCAACTACCCTAAGACCTTGGCTATACAGCTATTTGTTCAAGCACTGGCAAGTTTTTTATCCACTTAAAAAGATATAAACTATGACAATGCCTAGTAGCATGCATTAGACAAATGGACTTAGATGTAGTTGGATAGTTAAGATGTACATCCAAATATCTCTGTAAAATAAGTTATCAATGAATTTTGCATGGAAGATTTAAAATTCTGAGTACTCCTGAATTATTTTATACTTGGAAGTGTAAAATTCTGCCACCTGTGTGAATTTTGTGTTTTAAATTAGATTCGGGCGACAGGCTGGTTGGAGCATAATATAGCGTCCTTTCTGCGTGGAGCTGTCTCTTTATGCCCATGCTACTTTCCTTGGCTGACTACATGCATGCACACCTTCCTGTTTGGCTTTGCAGTGACAGCTTGGTGTTTATTGTGTCCTGTATGTTCCCCTGTCTTGTATGACTGTGAACTCTGGTGGTTCTATCACAGTGCTGTCCTGGGAGGAGCAACACAGGCATTCTGATATATGGATATGTAATTTCTTTTTCCTTACTAGTAAGTCCAGTCTTTCAATTATAATAACCTACATTTTTTATGTGTGGAGTTTCTTTTTTGCCAGCATTCATGGGTGATAGATAACAGTGGGTTTGAGCACCAAATTCATAGATTCAACATTTTGGAGACCCATTTAACTTTTGTATTATGAGAGTCCATACTGGGTTTGAATTTACCATATCATCAAATAATTCATTCAAAAGGGTTGTTTTTTCCCACCACAGAATATATTATAGATAGGAGAATGTGAATAGGCTCAGACCAACCTACTGCTTCCATTAGGAAACTAAGGAAACAATATCATATTTGTATTTGAATAATGGCACTTTGTCTTTAAAGCTAAATAAAAATGTTGCTTTCAGATTTTTTGTGTTTTCTAGAAAATAAAACTTATGAGGAATCACTTTTTTTTTTAATGTTTTTTATTGACTTCAAAGAAAGGAAGGGAGAAGGGGAGAGAGATAGAAACATCAGTGATGACAGAGAATCATCAATCAGCTGTCTCCTGCATGTGCCCTGGCCAGGAATGGAACCATAACCTCCTGGTTCATAGGTTGATGCTCAGCCACTGAGTCACACTGTCTAGACTGGAATCACTTTTCTAAACATCTTATTTCCTTTCCTTGCCATTTGTAGAGTTTTTTCCTAATTGGCAACAATCCTACCTTGCTTACTTATATTTGTTTCTTTTTCTTTCTTTACCCTAATATTATTGCCACATTATTTTAAAGAAAGTATTGTTACAAGTATCCATGTTGCTGCATGTGTCAGTAGTTTGTTCCTTTTACTATGTAGTATTCTATTGTACCAATTTGATTTTTCATTCAATGGTTGAAGGACATTGGATTGATTCGAGTTTGGGTAAATTTGAATGAAACTCTATAAATACTTGTGTATTTGTGTAAATGTAGTTTTCATTTCTGTTTGGTAAATATTGGCAAATATTTAGGAGTGAGATTGTTTGATCATGTGGTACTGCCTGTTTAAATTAGTAGAGATTGTCAAAGTTTTCTAAAATGGTTGTGCCAGCCCTAACCGGTTTGGCTCAATGGATAGAGTGTAGGTCTGCGGACTGAAGGGTCCCAGGTTCGATTCCGGTCAAGGGCATGTTCCTTGGTTTTGGGCACATCCCCAGTAGGAGGTGTGCAGGAGGCAGCTGATCGATGTTTCTCTCTCATCGATGTTTCTAACTCTCTATACCTCTCCCTTTCTCTATTGTAAAAAAATCAATAAAATATATTTTTAAAATAAAATGCTTGTGCCATTTTGCATCCCACCAGCAATTTATGAGAAATCCAGTTTAGTAACTTACATAGGAAGAGGCTATATATTTTGTTCAATAGAATGACATCCTAAAATAGTTTGTTTGCATGGTTAATTTTTGGAGTCCATTGATCACAGCAAAATAGAATTAGATTATCTTAGTAATAGAAAGAGATTTGGGGCTCGTTCGGTCTGAGGTTTTAACCAGTAGGAAAGTTCTTGAAAGCACTCTCTGGTTCTAGTTCACTCACTTTTCTACCTGAAATGTCCACTCATGGGAACTAGTACTGCATCATTTCACAAAGATTTTATTAAGTGCATATTGTCTACATTCCATGATAACTACTTTGTCAAATCCAAGACATCATAAGTTATTAGGGGTCCAGTGCACGAAATCATGTACCTCAAAAGGAACTGTGGGCCTCGGCTGCAGTAGGCACAGGGTTAGGTCTCAGCCCATCCTCCTGTCCCCACCTCACCCTTCCCACTGCAGCCTCAGTCACCTGTCTGCCCACAGCCCTGCTCCCACATGCTGAAGGCACGCAACAGTTGGGGCTGATGTCAGTAGCAGGTGTGAGTGGCAGGTGCTGCCCGATCACCCCTCAGGAGTGGGGGGGGGGAGGGGGGAGAAGCCCTCAGGGGATTTCAGGGCCAGCAGCCCAGCGATCAGGACTGGTACCAGCAATGGGTGCGAGCAGCAGCTCCAGCTGTGGGTGTGAGCGAGGCCATCGCTGGCAGCAGGTGTAAGAAACAGCTGCTAAGCCTCATCTCCTCTCAGAAGCAGGGGAGGTGGAGAAGCCCTAAGGGGCAATTGGTGCTGGCAGCACTGCTTACTTCCACTGACCGCACCAACCAATTTGGGCCAGTGCTGGGTGCCATGAGTGGTAGCTCTAGCGCCAGCAGAAGGTGCAAGTGCCAGGCAGGACCATGGAGGACAGGAGTGAAGAATTTTCAGTAACCACCAGAGGTTCGCCCTGATGACAGTGACCGGTGTCCCGCCTTGGTCTGGCACCCCTGCTCACCTGCTCCACCATCCAGCTGCAGTAAACACCCACCATGTTCCACTCACGCCAGCTGGTGGTCAGTGCATGTCATAGAGACCGGTTGTTTGGTTGTTCGGTTGCACCAGTTGTTCCACCATTTGGTCTATTTGCATATTATCCTTTTATTATATAGGATAAGATGCATCATTTCTTCATGTTCTATGTGAAAAAATGTTATTTTTTTTTTCACCATGACACATCATTGACATGAATATGCATCTTGATTATAGAGATATTAACATGTCTTTTTAAAGCATGAGTTATGGCCGGGACTGATTTGGCTCAGTGGATAGAGCATCGGTCTGCGGACTGAAAGGTCCCGGGTTCGATTCCGGGCAAGGGCATGTACCTTGGTTGCGGGCACATCCCCAGTAGGTGGTGTGCAAGAGGCAGCTGATCGATGATTCTCTCTCATCGATGTTTCTAACTCTCTATCCCTTTCTCTTCCTCTCTGTGAAAAATCAATAAAATATATTTTTTTAAAAATAAAGCATGGGTTATGGAACATTTCTAGAGTAATATTTCTGCATTTTTATAATTTAGGAATATCACTGAGAAAAATATCCTTTACCTTTCATTTTTCCGATCTATCATTCTACCTTTAATATTTTCTCTTCCTAATGTAAGCAATCTTTAAATAATCCTTTTTGTTAATTTCCCAGTTATTTCCTATTCTGATAATTTTCCGTTGGATGATAGTTTAAAAAAAAAAAAAAAAAACTGCCTTAAATTTAATATAATACAGATTTTAAAAAGAAAATTGTAAAATGTTAAAATTACTATATCCAGATAGTGAAACACTGTGTAAGGTCGAGAACAAGGTTTCTAACTTGACAAGGTTTTTAATAACCTTTTAAAACAGTCCATACCTATGAATAAATTATGTCATGATTTTTACAAGTAGGTTAACAGTTTATACCTAATTTTTTAAAAAATCCTCACCCGAAGATATGTTTGATTTTAGAAAGAGAGAGGAGCCGAACCCGGTTTGGCTCAGTGGTAGAGCGTCGGTCTGTGGACTGAAAGGTCCCAGGTTCGATTCCAGTAAAGGGCATGTACATTGGTTGCGGGCACATCCCCAGTGGGAGGTGTGCAGGAGACAGCTGGTCTGTGTTTCTCTCTCATCGACGTTTCTAGCTCTCTATTTCTCTCCCTTCTTCTCTGTAAAAAATCAATAAAATATATATATTTTTTTTAAAAAAGAGAGAGAGAGGAAAGGGGAAGGGGGAGACAGATGGGGGAACATGGGTGTGGAAGAGGAACATGGATGTGGAAGAGGAACATCACATGATTGCCTCCCATGGGTGCCACCACAGGGATCAAACCTGCAACCTAGTTATGTGTCCCAACCTGGAATTGAACTGCAGCCTTTTTTGGTGCCCTGGACGGTGCTCCAACCAACTGAGCTACCTGGCCGGGCCATCATACTTTGCATAGCAAGAATTTCTCCCCATTGACACTCATTTACTCACTTTGGTAATTGAGGTTAAACATGCTACTTTTTATAAGCTAACATATGTTGTTACAGATATAAACAGAATTATACATCTTTTCTAGTTATTCTCCTCTCTACAAAATTGTTACAAAAGAAATCTGCCCATAATAATTTAACCTGGGAATATTTCTAAATGACAGAAATGTTTATCTGTTTTAGTAGTGAATATTTACATTTGAATATTTCTTTATGATCATGTAATTTCTGATAATTATTGTATGACATGCTATGTATTGCCTAGTTCAAATTAACTCAGCTATAGGAGAAATTACACCTTATAGTGTTAAATTTGCTGATTCCTATAGAGTTTATGGCTTTTTTGTTATTATAAAATTAAGCTTCCTTTCATAGTTAATATTCTTTCTTTAATAACACAGGTTTTGAGAGTATTTTAGAAGGGCTTTATGGACCACGGCTACGAAGAGACCTCAGTTTATTTGAAGGTAATGTTTTATTTCAAAATTTTAACCTGTCCCATTTAAGAAATGAGAAATGGTTCTTCTGCACTATCTTTATACTAAACATGAATTTGTGTTAGTGTTTAATTGGAAAATATTTTAATGAATACATACAGTGATCCAAATATTCCTATTATTATGATGTCATAATCTTTACAAATTTAGTTCACTGATCAAAATTGAAAATGAATTTTGTTTTGGCTCAGTGGTAAATTTGGTTTTTGTCATTTTATTCATTACTCTCCCTGCCTTATTGTTAAAGAAGACTTAAAGGGATTCAAGTTGCCTGTTGCTTATGATACAGGCAGTCTAAAACTCGGATTGTCACTGAGAAATCCTGCCATATGTGGTCAGAGTTTTCTATTTATGTATAGCCTCTATTTATGATAGCCCACCCTTCCAAATGTTGTTGCATTAATGCTGGTGTAAGATTTTGATCTGGGATATAATGGCTGTGGTAGCATAGTTTAGCTGTTTTACTGCTTGCTTGGAAACATAGAGCACAGGGAGAGAGCATTTTTGTAGGCATGTGAGATTGGCATGTGAGATTGAATAGTACAGTTCATTTACAAAATGGGTAATGCAAGAATAGATTTTCTACTTTGATTTTGATTGAATTATTTCTGTATCTTGTCACTTTTTTAATATATTTATATTTTATTGATTTTTTTACAGAGAGGAAGGGAGAGCGATAGAGAGCTAGAAACGTCGATGAGAGAGAAACATCGACCAGCTGCCTCTTGCACACCCCCTATCGGGGATGTGCCCACAACCAATGTACATGCCCTTGACCGGAATCGAACCTGGGACCTTTTAGTCTGCAGACCGATGCTCTACCGCTGAGCCAAACTGGCCTCGGCTGTATCTTGTCACTTTTTAATGCTGACTCTTTTACCTTTTGTCCTTCTCTGGTACCTTCCATTCTACTATGACCAAAGTCCTATCTAATAGCTTAAAGGCCCTTCTCTCTGTGGATATAAGTCCTTTGAGTTGAGGTACTTATAGTGATAGTTGGAGTAATCCAAAGTTTTCTGCTCATTCTTTATTAATGTTGAGGAGGATTATTGAGCTATGAATCATAGAGCTGACAGTATCTATGCAAGATCATTTGTTCCAACCACCCATCTTCAACCAGATGAATGACATCCATGCAGAATATGACCATAAGGACCAAGACTTCAAACTATACCCATTCCAATGTTTTATCATTCTATGGCTAAGATCTTTATCTTCTACCTTTTAAACTTTCAACATCTCTCACTGTGTCACAGCTTTACACTAAATTAAATATTTTTACCTGTTATAAGCAAAACTGACTAATTATAGTTTCATCTTTTTTTCTGAGCTTATAAATAAAGGAAAAATCTAAAGAAATAACAGTTTAACCTATGTTGGTATTTCATGAGCCTACTGTTCTTTCATTCATGTCAGAAGGCAGCATTATACTTAATTGCTTTCTGATAATCCAAAGTCCAACTTGTGATTTGTATACTCTTGCTTTCAATTATTTACATATGTAGTTATGAATATATGTATGTATTTGTGCTCCTTCTTTAGTTATTACACAAAGGGCAGAATATTCTAAGGAATTAATACCCGTATTTTATTTTTTGACTATTATTTCTTTTGTGTACAAATAACACATGTTTATTTTAGGAAATTATAAAATATAAATGAGCCCAAAACTAAAAAATTAGTCCATGCCCCAGAGATAACCTTTAACATTTTTATATATGTTTAAAATATGTTAGTATGTATTTATTGATTTACTAAAGTAGTATATACTGTACATATAGTATATAGTTTTTATACCTACTCTGTTCACTAGTGTATCATTTGGGTATATAAATTTTTTTTAATCTTTATTGTTCATATTATTACAAATGTTCCTCATTTTTTCCCCCTCCATTGCTCCCCTCCACCAGGTTCCCACCCCACCCTCTGCCCTTTCCCCACCTCCCATTGTCCTCATCCATAGGTGCACAGTTTATGTTCAGTCTCTTCCCGCACCTCCCCACTCCCCTTTTCTTTTTCTTTTTTTTCCCCCCAACTCCCCTTTTCCCGGAGAATCATCAGTCCACTCCCCTTCCATACCTCTGATTCTATTATATTCAAAAGTTAATATTGTTCATCAGGCTTTTAATTCCCTTGGTTTTTAGATTCACTTGTTGATAGTTACATATTTGTTTTTCATAATTTTTATCTTTATTTTCTTCCTCTTCCTAAAGAACCCCCTTCAGCAATTTGTATAATTCTGGTTTGGCAGTGATGAACTCCTTTAGCTTTTTTTTTTATTATTAGTGGAGCTCTTTATCTGGCCTTTGATTCTGAATGGTAGCTTTGCTGGGTAGAGTATTTTTGGCTATGGGTTCTTGCTATTCATCACCTTGAATATTTCTTGCCATTCCCGTCTGGCCTTCATGGTTTCTGTTGAGAAATCAGCTGACAATCGTATGGGTGCTCCTTTATAGGTAACTACCTGTCTTGCTGCTTTTAATATTCTCTCTTTGTCTTTTGTTCTTGGAATTTTAATTATGATGTGTCTTGGTGTGGTCATCTTTGGGTTCCTTTTGTTTGGGGTTCTGTGTGCTTCCTGGACTTGTAAGTCTATTTCTTTCCTCAGGTGGGGGAAGTTTTCTTTCACTTTTTCTTTCAGTATGTTTTCAGTATCTTGCTCTCTCTCTTCTGGAACTCCCTTAATTCTGATGTTTGTTCGCTTGAAGTTGTCCCAGAGGTTTCTTACACTATCTTCAACTTTCTGGATTCTCTTGTCTTCTTGCTTCTGTGGGGGAGTGTCCTCTGGCTCTTTGTGTTCCAAATCTTTGACTTGATTCTTGTGATCTTCCATTCTGTTTTTAGGATTCTGTATAATATTTTTTATTTCAGACAATGTATTCTTAATTTCTTGTTGATCCCTTTTCATATCCTTATAGATCTCATTTATTTTATCGGCCTTTCTAGGAAATTCTTGAAAAACCTTATAAGCGTGGTTTTGAACTTTATATCTAGTCGCTTTTTGTCCTCCATTTCTTTTGTTTGTGATCTGTTTCCTTGTCTCGGCATTTTCACAGTTTCCCTGAGTTGGTAGGGTGGCTTTGTGTGTTAAGGTGTCCTATATAGTTCAGTGGGTCAGCCTCCCAATTATCTGACGTAGACACTCTTGGTGCATCCCTTTGTGGACTGTGTGTATAGCCTTTAATAGTTACGTTTTAATTGTTGGTATCACTGGGGGAACTGACCTCCAGTCTAATTGTCTGTGAGGATCAGCTGTGTCTATGCCGGGAGACAGCCTTATTCAAAAGCCTCTCTGCTCAGCTCGTATGGGGTGGAGTTTCAGGGTAGAGCCTACAGCCTTGGCTTCCTGTCAGCCCCACCCTATGAGGTTCCTGAGTCTCAGTGTTCCTCAGTGTCCTTTGGTACTCGGTGCTTCGGTACTCGCTGCAAGCACCTCTGAGAGAAAGATGCCCTCGAGTTTCGCCCACTACCAGACAGTCTAGGCTCTCCCCCAATGAACCCAGAACTGGGGTTCAGTGCAGTTGGAAGTGAGGTTCAGTGCAGCCTGGAGCTTTTGTCTCCTTCAAGCTAGGGCAATCCAGCTGCACAGTCAACAGTTGGTCCTCTCCGCGCAATGTGCGCTACTCTGGGGCTCTGCCTTTGGCCGCTCCCCTGAGTTTCCACCTTATAGCCCAGATTCCCTCCATATGAGCCTAGGTCCCCAGGGTCTGGTCTAGAAATGGGGTTCAATGCAGTCGGAACTGGGACTCAGCACAGTCCGGAGCTCCTTCCAGCTAGGGCAATCCAGCTGCACAGTCAACAGTCAGTCCTCTGCGTGCAATGTGTTCCACTCGGGGGCTCTGCCTTTCACCGCTCCCCTGAGTTTCCGCCTTACAGCCTAGAATCCCTCTGTATGAGCCTGGGACCCCAGAGTCTCACCAAGAACCGGGGTTCAGTGCAGTCGGAACTGGGGTTCAGCACAGTCCGGAGCTTTTATCTCCTTCCCTCTACTGCACATGTGTCAAACACAAGGCCCGCGGGCCAAATCCGTCCCGCCAGGCCTTGCAATGTGGCCCGCACCGCGCTGTCATCACTGCACTCCGCTGCGTTTCCATCACCATGACAGTTTATGACTGTTCAGTAAACCATTCGGCCCGCGATTTAGGCTGGATTTTAGATTTTGGCCCCTTCTCTGATTGAGTTCGACACCCCTACTCTACGGAATGCCAGCCAGGCACTCAGCCGCCCCTCCTCTCCGGCTCCGTTCTCTCCCCACGTGTGCACCATGTCTCCGTACCTTAGGCTTTTACAGCTCCTCTGATTTTCCTTCTTGTTTTCTCTTTCCTTCTAGTTGAAGAATTTCCAGTCAGTCAACTTTCCTGTAGTTCTGGATAATGTCCACTTTATATTTTAGTTGTATTTTTTGAAATTGTTGTGTGAGGCTGCAGTTAGGCGTTTACTTATGCTGCCATCTTGGTTTCTTTCCAGGTATATAAAGTTCTTGATCATTATTCTAAATGGCTGCACAGTACTACATTGTGGATCTATTATAACAGATTTATCTAATTAGTTAATTTCATACCCCACTGCAGTATATCTTATTCCATTTACTTTTTAATTCCAATAGACTTTGTACTTTATCTTTTGTACTTTTTTTTTTTTTTTTGGTAGGGTATTTATAAAATCAGCTAAGCTTTGGAATTCAATCTTTTTTTCTTATATAGGCACATAATTTCATTGCCCTTTCTCATCCCTAATGTTCTAGCTTTTTTCCAAATTTCATAGGAAAATTCTTATTTCTTTTTTTAATTAAAAAGACTTCTAATTAAAGTTGCTTAAGTATAATTGCACTAATCCAATGTAATAAAAGCCTAATTGCAAATTGTCCCCTCCCTTGGTCGGTCATATGATCGCTTGCTATTACATGTGCTGACCACCAGAGGGTGGGGCAGAACATAGTGGGCATTGGCGATGCACTGGCAATGGGCACT